ACCGTCAAAGTGTAGAGACGCTCACCCGAGAGCTAGAGCATAGGTTGGTCTCAAGACCGGGCCAGCAATGGGGCCAACCACATCATGCTGGAGCACACACACGCAAGCTGCAACGCAGGCGCCGAAGGAGACCGATGGAAGAGGGTAAGCCGCCGGGAGAGTCGCCGAAAGGAAGAAGCTGTCGAGCCACATGGCAAAGATTAGGAACAAGGAACTCAAGAACCAGCCGAATCGGCACCTGCGGCGTTGCTGCTGCCGAGAAGGGGAACCCGATCCCATTCCGCCCATACTCGAGGGCGCCGACCCGCCGGGACATCGCAAACACCACCGCAGAGCACTTGTGGCTGGATCTGAGACCTGCACAGAAGGGACGCCACGGAATCCACAGACGCCAGGCACCCACCTACAACTGCTACACGCCCCCAAAGCACCAAACCTCCCCAGACGGCGCCTCCAAGGAGGGCACGACGCACCAAGTGTCGCCGCCGCCCATCCCAGGCCGGGATTTGAGCTTTCGCCCGGGAGGCATGGCCGGGGTGTGGAGGAGAGCCCACGGCTACGACTCCAATGAGTAGAACGATGCAAAAGGGCGCTGCCGCCGCCGCATTGAAAATACCAACAAGGGTTTTCCCCGGGCTCGTCCAGCACTACCTGCTCGGGGATCACCCTACCGGCACCAGATCCGGCGACCAGAGGCTCGGAATCAGGCGAATCCAGCGAGGAGACCAGAGAGGGAGGAAAACCTGACCTTTAGATCTGGAGCAGAGGAGAAGGAACCTCGCCGCGCCGCGGCCACTACCCGTCGGGACCTCGCTGCCCGAGCAGCCAAGGGGGCCGGCCATCACCTCCCGCGCGCGGCGCCAGCTAAAGGACAGCGCCGCCTCACCGACCGGGCCGCCGCCCAGGTTTCCAAGGTCCAATGCCACAACGGGCGAAGCGACGAACACTACTGGAAAACAGGTTATTAATGGCGCACCTATTTTGACTACTAATGGCGCACATTAGGTGCGCCATTACTAGCACGCCATTAGTAAGTTTTAGTAATGGCGCACATTTGGTGCGCCATTACTATCCCAGATAGTAATGGCGCACCTAATAGTGCGCCATTACTAACCCTTACGTGCGCCATTAGTAATAAAGCCAAGTGCGCCACTAGTAACTTTAGAGGTGCGCCACTAGCTAAAAAGCTAGGTGCGCCATCAATAAAGGCTGAAATGTGCCACTAATAGTATATTTAAAAAACAAAAAAAATACAAATTAAAAAAAACCTATAAGGAAAAATAATTTAAAAAAATGAAATAGAACCATAATTTTTATTATAGCAAGAATATTACCATGTCTTTACAAGTATCCAATAAAAAGAAAATTGCACAGAAATAAAACAAAATCCTATAACTAATCTTCTACTCCCTCCGTCCAAGAATACCTCTCGCAAGGGGAGGAAATTTTGAACTGAAGTGCATTTTACATTACAACCCGTCATATTTCAAATCAAAATCAATCGAGTCCACGTCCGATCGGTAGCAGCGCCTCGTCCTGGCATCGAGGAGAGCCAGAACTCATCTCTTCGGTAGCTCGTCACCACCCTCCCGGCAGCCTCTGACATCACGTACCCACCCTCCTGGCGTCGATCAACTGCTTTGAGGTAGCAGATTCCTCCTCTGTGTCTGCTCCTGCAATTAACACTTTGAATGCAATTAACAATTTGAATGTTAATAAGAGGCAAAGACAAGATGGATCAGTATATAATAATGGAGTACATGCACAATTAGATGTTCAAGCTGTTTAATGTCACTCCCATCATCACAATTTCATCTCAGGAAATGGAGTAGAATAGATTTAAGCATAGTGGGAGAACTTGGTGATGTGAGCGAAGCAAACTGCCTACATTCTAGAGATAGAGGAATATAGATATTGTTCCATACGAGTCTGCAAACTTACAATATAGGACCATATAGGCAGCCCTGTCATTGCCAAAAAACAAATATCACAGGCAGGCAGGGATTCTAGAAATAGAGACCAACCAGAATTAACAAGATGACACAGGCCAACAACACAACACACTCGTGTAGTTTTAAAGAGCAGTGAACCCTTGATAATATGGAACGACAACATATAAAGCCCATTCATCGTCAGTAAAGTAAATCTGTGTGTGCCGGACTAGCAGGACTGGATTTAACCGAACAATTAATCACAGCGCACTACTGGACCTTAAAAGAGTTAGCTAGCTAGGGGGGAGGGGGAAGTAAAACTAAAGCGTTGCTGGGTTAATCCAACAAATTTGCGATACGGACAGAGTTAATCCATTGGAGTCGGACTTGTTCGTCACCAAAAAATACATGCAAGTTACTAACTTGCTAGCAGACCAAGAAGCTACATGAGGTGATGCATTTGTGACAGCCTCTGTTTCATCCAAACTAGTGTAAATGGATTTGAGCAACCCTAAACCGTGTGTGTACTGTATGGGCGGCCAAATCTGAAGGCACAGGCGGATGGGAGCAGCTTCTCTTTCTCCCCCTTGACCAAATCAGGTCAGAGACACAAATGCTCGGGAATCAGATCTGGAGATGGAAAAAGAGCTAAGGTAGCAGCAACAGGAGAGGATACCTTCCATGGCATGCGTGGTCCTGGTGGGGAAGGGGAAGGAGCAGCTTCCATGGTGTTGTCCTCCTTCCTACAGAGATGAGACCTCTCATGGTGAGAAGTCCATGGAAGAAGGAGGAGCATAGGGGTCCGGTGCTGTACCTCGTTCCTGCGGCATGCATGCTAGGGTTTCGGGCACGAGGCATGGCTGCTGGCAGGTCGGACTTCCATGGCCGGCCTCGAGGACCTCGGTGGTCGCGGCCCAGGTGGACGGCGGCGCGCTGAAGCGCAAGGACCCACCCACCCACCCGATGTGGATCTGGGACCTTCCCTTCCCGATCCGCGGATGGGAGAGAAGGTTCTCGATCTGCGGATGGGAGAGAAGGTGGGGGGCGCGGGAGAG